GCTGAACAGCCCCAACTCCCTCAGCCTGTCCTCGTAGCAGAGGTGCTCCAGCCCTCTGATCATCTTCGTGGCCCTTCTCTGGACCCACTCCAACACATCCATGTCCTTCTTCTATTGGGGGCCCCAGAGCTGGACATAGGACTCCAGGTGGGGTCTCATGAGAGCAAAGAAGAAACCGATTTCTGTGGAAAACTGCAACACGCTCGATGAAGAGACTGCTGTTTGCCTTCACCTGCCTGCCCCAGGCTGGGGTCACATTCAAGCCACGTGAGAACCTGGCAGCTCTGCACGTGCTTCCCAGAAGCTGCCCTCAGGGCTGATGTCCGGCCGCGTGTCCAGCAGACCGCCCTCTCGCTAGCCCAGGGAAGCGGCTGCTGAAGCACCTTCCTGCCCGGTGTGTGTACCGTGGTGCTGCACAGCCAGGTGCTCCCAGCCACGCCGGTGGGTTAGGAGCCAGCACGGAGTCTTCAAAACCATCTTACCTCATCGATGGTCCACTTGGCCACCGTGGTTGCTGTGATGCCAGCCACCCCGGGCAGGAGTTTGCAGTGCTGCTCCCAGCAGAGCGACAGGGAGCGGTCGGGGTGGGCAGACAGGGCAGACATGAAGAGCGACTGGTGCACGTTGTCTGAAGAAATAGCTGGCAATAAAAATGGAAGATGTGACACAAGGCAGCAGGACGCGAACATCTCACCCCATCCTATCCTACAAGGCTCAGGGAGGGCCTCATCCAGGGGAGGGTCCAGGGCTGGCAGCAGACGGTCTCATGGGTCCAGGTATCAAGAGCTAGTGGCCATCCCTTGAATTAACAGGATATCAGTGTGTCCAAGCGTTGAGTTTGGTGGGATTGGGGATGGCAGGACAAGAAGTTTAGAGACAGGCTTGGCTTTGCCTTGTTCTCACCACCATCAAGCATTCATTTTCCATACTCAACTAAACTTCAATGTCAAGTTTCACACGAGAATACCATCCCATATCACTCAGTTCTTTTCATGTTTTTAACAAAGCTTTTCCCTTGCGCTCTGCTCCAAGGAGTCAAGGATGGCTCCCAAGAAGAGCTCCTCTTCATTCACCCCCAGCACCGGGGCAGCAGCAGGACAGCCCACGGTGAAACGGATACCGGCTGGAATAAATGTCAGTCATCAGCACCAAATGCTAAGCAAAACTCTTCAGCAGCAGTGTCTGCGCTGCAGCAATAATCCGGCACGTCACAAGCACACGGACGTTTTGCCACAGCATCCCCGTGTGAAGGGGACAAAGCGCCAGGGAAAACGCGCTGCCACAGAGAGCGGATCCGAATTCCCTGCCCTAAAGCCCTCCAAGGTTCACAGACATCAGCCAGGCGACACGACGAGGGACCCAGCAGAGCTCTGGTAAGAAGGAGGGACGTTCCTTGCCAGATGGTCAACCTTCGCAGTCGACCACAGGCTCCCCACCGGTGCTGGCCCGCGTGAGGTCTGACCGAGCGAGCCAGGGCAGACCCGCCTCCTGCAGCCACCCCCCAGCTCCTCGAGCCTTGCCCCCGTGCTGACACCGTGGCAGAGGATGGCACTTACCCTGGAAGTCTTCCTGCTGGATCTTCCGGTACTTTGGAGGTCGCCCTCTAAAGAGACAGGAAGACTGATTTCCAACTGGGCTGGGACTGGCCCGAGGGCCCTCCTCCACACCACACAGCGCAATGCCTCGGCAGTGGGAGCAAGGATTACCTCTCGGACCCTGACCCAAAGGGTCGAGAGCTAAAGACACAAAATGCAGGAAGAAAAACCAAGAGAGGGACAAACACCAGCTGCCAGCAACCGTGCTCCCCGTGGTCAAGGAGCCTCTCCAGCTTGGCCATCGTCCCCAGGGATGGCAGTCGTGGCACAGGGCCCAACGCTGCCGCATGAGGCTTGCCCCTACCTCCCGTGGTGCCGAGATTTCTTCCGCTGAGGGAAGCCCATCAGGTTCCTCTTGCGAGTCGAGGCCTCGGTGTCGGACAAGTCCGCCTTAAGCCTGCCCTGGTTCTTCTCTGCCAGCGGGCACCCTGAGAGGCAGTAATGGGCCGTGAACCTCCCCGTCACATGTCCTGACCCGTCGCAACCCGGCGTGGGGCACTTCCTAGAGAACAGAGGGGAGGCAAGCGTTGGACCCAGCTCCGAGCAGCACGGGCTGGGGGGGAGGCAGCAGGGCCAACCCGCCACCCCCGAGCACGGGAAGCCGTAGCCCTGGCCGTGGAAAGCAGAGTAAAGACGTGCTGAACAAACTCCCAGGACGAGGGCACTGGGTGCGCAGACAGCGCACACCCAGTCCCTCCAGGTACAAACGCCCGTCCCGCCTTCCCCGCTGCTGCCGCAGCGACCCTGTGCGAGTCACCACAGTGCTGACCAAGCAGGTCGTTGGGGTTCACAGTCTCCATCTTCCCTCCCTTGCCCCCACGGGCACCCAGACTAGCCTCAGAGCGAGGAGGAAGCAAGTGTCATGAGTGCGGCCGGTAGAGAAACCCCTGGGAGCCAGATCTGCCTTCCCCATCCTCATGACTGCTCCACCACACTCGCTCCTCTTGACGCCAGGCTGTCGTGCTGGCGTCGGCACGCCGCCGCACCTGGTTTCCCCTGGAAAAGGTCACAAGCGACTGCCTGAGCTGGAGGAGATGGACTGTTCCTTCGTGGGACCTCCCGGCTCACAACCTCCCAGTGAAAGGCATCCATAAGGGGCAGGAGGAGCATTGTCCTCGAAGCTGGTGTCAGTGAACAGCATCTTACGGGCTGCACAGGGGACAGTGCCTCTATGTCCCCACAGGGCACGCAGGGCACCCCCGGGGCTCGGGGTGCTGCAGGACAGGCACAGCGTAGGAGCTGGCAGGAGTTACACGAGCCACGGTCTGCCCCGGGGCCTGCCCTGGGCAGAGCTGGGGCTGCCCCTAAGCAGGGGGCAGAGCCAGGTGGGGTGGGTGCAGGGAAGGGCCGGTTGCTGGTGCGCAGGATCCGGGGAAGGGCCAGCACGGGCTGGCGGGGAAGCTGGGCCCCTCTGAGCCGCGCCGGGGAAATCACCTGTGGTGAAAGCTGTACTTGGAGCTCTTGGTGTGAGGGATGCTCTTGCAGCCCAGGGTCTGGCAGCCCCCGTGGGCAGAGGTGGCTGGTTCCTTTGGCCCTAGACCAGGAGGAGAAACAGGAGAGAGGCTGTCACAGCTGCAGCTCCAGGCAGAGCCAGGGCTCTGGTCTCCCTGCCTGCACCAAACAGGGAGGATTCTTCCAACTGACAGCTCCACGGAAAAGCCCTTCCTCCCTGCCCATCCTCGGCCAGCACCTGCTCTCCCATTTCTGTGCCTCGCAGGAGGTGCTGACAGTGGGGACCTGGCAGGCTTGGGCTCTGGCACGAGGAACCGACCCAGGCGCAGGACTTACTGAGAGGAGGCTGCAGCGGGTGTCCAGTCTTTGAGCACCAGCCTATGGGGTGGATGTCCGGGTGATCCGCATCAATCCAGAAATCATAGACGTGGCTCCAGCCATCAAAATGGATCTGGGGAGACGAGTAGAGAGGTCACCCTTCAAACCTCAGGGCACCCTACCGAGAAGCTCTGGAGCTTCCCAGCCGGCAGCAAGCAGCAGGGCAGAGCTGAACTGCAGCACAAGGCTCTCCTCCACTCCTGGAGCCAGGCACTGGGACCTGCCACCCTCCACACGCGTGCTTCCACAGACCTCCACACACTTTGCCACTGCAGCTGGCAGTGAGTTGGGAAGGGCAGGAGCAAGCCAGCACAGTGACTGGACACAGGCTCAGCATCAAGACTCCAGCACCCACCTTTATCCTGTGATCTTCCACATCCTCCACACTGGCCACTCGGACGAAGGAAGGAGTCCTCCTGTCCACTGCCTCCAGCTTCATGTTGACCAGGAAGCCATGGGGTGGGCGCTGGGGCCAGGAAGAACCCAGGTGAGTGGGGAGCGGGGCCATGCTTCGGGCTCCCGCGCCCCTCGGCAGCTTTCCCAGCAGCATGCACTCGGAGGAGCCCAGCTCCCAGCCCCGGCCTGTCTGGGTAAGAGCCCTCCCAGCACCAAGTGGCAGCAGGAGAGAGCTGGGACAGGTCTCCCAGGTCTGAGCTGTGTTTTAACGAGATGGTAAAGCTGCGCTCAAGGGAAGGAGGTCTCCAAGAGGCACATTTTGGGGGTCTACACTGCAGCCACACTTGGCTGGACACAGCTGCTGTTGCTGCAGTTGGAGATGACAACTATCAAGCAAGCCTAAACGACTTCCCATCACCCAGCTCCTGTCTAGCCGAGAGGATGGTCGTACTTCCCACCTTTCCCAGTTTTGAACTATTTGCCCAGGATAGCTCTGACTTCTGAACCTTCGGTGTAGGTCCAAACCCCAGGCCTGTGGCATGAGCATACTGGACATCACTTGGCTTTTCATAAAAGCAAAGACCTGACAATGGAGAAAACCTGAATTCCTGCCCAGGCACTGTGGAGCGGATGATGTGGCACTCACCACTTTAAAGGCCCAAGCCGGGACAGCAGATGCTCCGGTTTCCTTTAAGTACTTTTCCCAGGTGAAGTTGTCAGGGTCAGGATAATCTAGAAGGGGGAAGATGCAGAAGGTGAGACGCGCCTGCAGCAAGATGGCAAGTATCCCTGAATGTCCTGCTGCCTTGAAGGACCAACCAAGTCTGTGCCAGGCACACAGGAACCTGAGAGACATCAAGAAGTGCTACTATTTCCTCATGGACCATGAAGTCCAGGGCACAAGAAAGCAGAAGCACCTGGGCCTGCACAGGCAGCTTGGGTCCTCCTCGTGTCTCCACTCGGCCCGACACAGCCACCGTGCTGCACCCGAACACGTGTGCAGGAGCGTCGGCGGGAGCATGCCGAGGAAGCCTGCCCGCAGCGAAGGCTGCGCTCCCGGGCCACCGACTCACCTTGAGGAGGGGTGAGGGGTTTGCCGTGCTCCTGACACCATCCGACTGGGTGGATGTATGGGCTGCTGGGGTCACACCTAGAAAACACACCTGAACTCTTACACAGGGCTGAGACACCCGGCTCATCACCGCCAGACAGCGCGAGCTGCAGGGGCCCAGGCCACTCAACAGCACCCCCCACGCCCCCACCCCCAGCAAAAGCCCCTGCAGAAGCTGAGGTCTACAGCACCCTCATCCCTGGGCAACCCAGGGCACCACGGGCCCTGGCAAGGCAAGGGCTAGAGCAGCGGGACTCAGCTCAGAGGGGTAGGATAGGAACACGCACAGGGTGCAAGCCCTGCTGCAGAGCTGCCCAGGGAACAGCAACCCTTTGCTGCGAGTGGGGAGGTGGGCCATGCCTTTCAGAGCTTGGAGTAGTGAGACCCGAGCGATCGGGGGGCTCGTGTCCTGGTGATGGCTGCCACCAGGTCACGGCGCACTCGGGGGCTGCTGCATTGCAGGTCTGCTTGGGACAGAGCAGGTAGCTGCCCAGCATCAGCGCGTGAGAGCCGCTGGGGACAGAAACCGCTGCAGCCTCACAGCTCCTCGCGGCGAGAAGCAAGCGAAGGTCAGAGGGCTCCAGCCAGAAAGCAAACAGAGATGCTCTCAGGACCCTGACTGTGCCAACTGGCCATTTTCATTGGCCTTTCCCAGCCTCTGCAGCAGTGTGCTGGGATTGTCCCACGCGTCCCCAAGCACCCCGTCGCTCTTGCTGAAGCAGTGGCAGGGCGTCTCCCCAGCACTGGCACCCCAGGAACCTCTGTGCACTCACCAGTAGTCGTAAGTGTCATCCCAGTTGTCAAAGTGCACCAAAAAGCGATTGTCCACCACATCAGTCACTGTGGCAACGCAGATCAGGGAAGGGTTCATGCGGTCCACAGCTTCGAGCTTCATGCCCACCTCGAAGCCCGGGGAAGCCTCGTGCTGGGTGGAGAGAGGGGCAGGCTTCTTTCAGAGCCGCGGTCCCAGCAGCCTCCTCAGCACATCCTGCTGCAAGGAGGCACCTGCCCAAACCCTCCCCAAACCAGACCCTCCCTGGCCTCTGGGCAGGCCCAGGACCACTTGGGATCCCAGAAGGGCAGTGCCCTCCTGTGCGTGCCAGAAGAGAGGCAGAGGGTAGCTCAGCTGGGCCACCCAACGAAAGAGGAAAAGAAATCTTCAGTAACCTCCAAGAGAAAACCAGCCTTCAGCTGACACGGACTCAGATTTTGTCACTGCTTGCTGGCAGCCACACTCCTCCAGTGTCAGCAGTGAGCCATGCTGTAGGCTAGGCAGGAGGAGCTGGGATGGGGCCCTTCATCCCACCTTGCCTTTATTTCTTGGTTCCAAAATTTGTGCAAAAGGCTGCGTCACACGCACTAGCAGGGTTGTTGCAGCAATGAACAGGAGGGTTTAGACATAATAACTAACTTGGAGAGGCTCATTTGTCAGCAGGTTGAGTTTCCTCTGCAGCTGACAAAGAAACCACCATCATTTTGCGCTCCGCTGTATTCCCACTTTCCTTACCCAAGCTGCCATATGAAAAATAAAGGCAGAGACAATGAAGACAAAAAACCAGAGACAAAAGAAGTATACTTATGAAACATTAACCGAGGGCATTTCACAAAGTAATTGTTGAGAGCAGTGGTTAGTTCTCCACACCAGTACTTTTGCACAGATTTGTCTCATCCACGTGACCGACGTGGGTGAAACAGTGAATCAGACCATGGCCAATTTTGGGCACGCCAAACCAGTGTCCAAGCCACAGATCCTCAGCAGCAAAGCATGCCACATCTCAGTACGCTCTCCCGGCCCTCTGCCCTGGGGGCTTGGGAGGTGTGCAGTGGACAGAGCAAAGCCCAGCACTGGCGGAGGCATTCTGCTCAACTGGAGGGGAAGGACCTGCAGGCTCTGGCAGGAAGGAGAAGCTGCTACTCACAGTGTTGCGGACCATGAAGAGGTGCTTAGGAGCTGCCTGAGCCTTTGTTATCCTCAGGTAGTTTGTCCAGCTGAATTCTTCTTCCTTGTAACCTACAACCCCTCAGGAAGGGAAACAAGAGCAGCAAGTTCACACAGAGCAGCCAGAAGGTTGTGAGGCCAAGCCCGGCCATCCCCGACCAGCCCTCACCCTGCCAGGCACGTCCTGCTGTGGGTGGACAAGGTCTACAGCAACGCTGGGAAACCCACAGCCCCCGGCTTAAGCCCAGTGGCTGATTTTGAAGGAGTGCTGGGAAACGTCAGCAGTGGAGTGGGAATCCAGAGCTCAGCTCCTCCCCGGAGAGCATCAGTCCCACCTGCCCCGGGGACAGCTGCTGGCTCCAGCCTGGCACTGGGACACCCGGGGTGACAGGGCTTTGCCCTAAAGCGGGAGCGAGCAGGGATCTTTAGCATGATGGGTGCCTGAAGGGTTGTCCTGTGGAAGTCCCTCAGCACAGCAGCATCCCCTCCTGGGCTCCACGGAGCCACCCCACCTCCAGCTCTACGTCTGGGGGCCCGCTACTTGTCCCCTTCCTTCAACAGGTCCCACCAACCGAGACTCGCTAACTCCTTACCTTTCGGGGGCTGGAGTTTGTGCCCCGTCTCCTCAAACCAGCCAGCGGGGTGGATGTCAGGGGAGTCAGCGTTCAGCCAGAAATCATGGCACTCCGAGTAGCCATCGAAGTGGAGGCGCATCCGGTAACCGCACACCTACCAGCAGGGAGGGCAGGAAAAGCAAATTGCCATGGAAACCTCCTGCTGCCCCTGGCTGAGCACCGCAGCCGCCTGCCCTCCCGCACGCAATCTCAGCATATCACTCGGGGAAGCCAGGAGTCAGTCCTAGCCCAGCGCACAATCGGGAGGGACAGGGCAGTCCCAAAAGGCACCCAGCACGGAGCAAGGTAAGTGCAAGGCCACCGCAAGCCAGCCCTGAGAAGGGAGGTTCAGGCCGGTCCGTGAGCTGCCACGGAGGGGCACCTTGCTGCACCCAGCAAGGGGCAGGATGCCCTTTTCTGCCCCGGGGGGGATGCTGGCACGGGGACTGTGGCTGAATGCCATGCTGCCTTGGTGAAATCTCTCCAGCAGTGAGAACTGCAGCCACTGTTACGTGGCTGATCTCCCTGGCTGCCTGGGGAGCACTGCGAGGCAAGGCTGGTTCGGTGGCCACGTGCCCGAGGTGGAGAGCCCCACAGACCTCCGCGGACACAAGAGAGAGCAATGGGATGCCCCCACAACCTCCACCCCAAGGGCTCAGACCTGTCTGAGGGGCATCAGCTCGAAGATAGGAAGCTGTTGCCATCACCACAGTCTCTCCCCTGCCACGGCCCGGCTGTGTCAGGGTGATGGAGAGACC